CTCTCGAGTTCTCAGGTATGCTCACGGCCTTGCTGTGTTAATAAGGTGGTCGTTACATCTGCTTGGCACCGGAAGGGGTTTCCATGTGGAACAAGGAGCTGACCCAGTGACTCGGGCTTTGCCTGAAGAGCCCTGAGCAGAGGCTCTCAATCTCTTCACCCTCCAGGTCCCCCTTGGAAAAAGCCAGCTCATAGTTGTCACTCATTTATTGATTACAGAACAACACTAGCCCAAGTCGTCTTTGCAAAGAACTCAGAAAGACCCGCCCAGGGCAGAAGGGTTTTGACACAGTGGATTCCTATGGGAAATCTCTATGTTTATTGCATGACTCCTGTTCGCACAGCTAAGAGTGCCAACATCGCGTGGCACCCTGCGACACCCCTGAAAAGACCTCGTGGCACTCTGCTTGAGAGTCCCTGGGCGAGAAGCACACGTGGGTCTCTGCTGAACGCAGGTCCTTGCCAGCAGAGCTTTCTGGTGCTGGACTGCAGCGGCTTTTCCCAAGACGATGCAGTCGCTCCTGAGTTGGCTGCGAGGGCATGCTTAGAGGCGCTGGCTCAGATGAAGCCAGTCCAAGCCACAGTGACTGTGTGAGGCGTGCCACCCAGAGCCAGCCCCTCTGCTGCAGGGCGGCCTCACAGCACAACCTGCAGGCGCCTCTTTCTCGCTTTCCTCCCATCGCAGTTCCCCTGGGAAGAGAGCCTGTCCGGCGTGGGATTCCTCTCCTATTGGCAAGAGCACAGCCGAGACATCAACTGGAAGCACTTTGTCTATGACTGCTTGCCCCAGGGGGCTGGTGAGAAAAGCTCTCGGGTGGGGCGGGGGGTGTCTGGGGGGTGCTGGAGCCCGGCTCTGCGGCTCTGAATGGGTTGCCAGCTCCCAGCTGGCACGTGAGACTATAACGTTGAGAAGATGCATGAGGAAGGATTGCAAAGGGCCCAGCTCAGGCAGCCTGAGCAGTTCCAGCAGCTGGTTCTGCAGGCTGGCTACGGTGCGCCTGGCACAGTGCAGAGCTTTGGGATCCAGCATTGTCCAAACAGGTGGGGCCCTTTAAGCCTGCTCATCCTGTGAGCGAGCATTCCCTTGCCCGTGCCCAAGAACTGGGGTCCTTGACCTGTCCTGCCCAAGGCACTCTCCGCACCTGCCCTGGCGCTGCTGCCCCCCTGACCTGGCCTGGAGCAGGGGTGGCCAGTGCCCTCGGCAGCGTCCCACGGTGCTCGTTCTTCCGACTCCTGTCCTGCAATGGGGGCTCTGGGATAGCGTCTGGGAAGTGCCAGGTGGATGCAGCTCACAGTTGGCACAGCAGGCTGGGGTGCAGAGAGCAGGGGCGGCCCGTTCGATGGGCTTGGTCCCAGAAACTGATGAAGGGCGGGCTCTGGCTGGGGCAGGAGCGGCTGCCCCTGGGCCTGGCCAGAGGTGGGAGATGCAGACAGCTCACGCCTCTGCTTGCAGCACTGTTTGGCCAGAGCCCCTTGGAGCTGAGCTGACCCCAGGCGCTGACATCTCTAAGGTCTGCAACGAGGCCGCCCTCATCGCTGCACATCGCCGGAGTCGCTGCGTGCACTAGAAGCGCATCGCTCAAGAGAGTCATCGGGGCCGAGCCTTGCACCACTCTCTGGGGGGAAGGGCGAGGGTGGAGGCAGCTGTTGTCTGCTGCATTGCCAGGCAGAGCCCGGTGGCCGGAGCAGCCGGCACCTTGCGAAGACCATGACTCCCATCCCCGTGGAGGCTGCTGAGTGCTGATCTGGGGCCCTGCCTCTCCTCCCAGGCTCCCCACCAAGGAGCCAGGGTGGAAGAGCACGGGCAGATGTGGGTGCACCTCTCCTGTCCCTGGGGGTGTCCTGCTGCCCTTCCCCCCCTTGCTGGGGAGGTGGGTAAGCCCCCCGGAGTGGGGCTCTGCAGCTGCTCCTCTCCCCTCCTCTTCCCGAGCATGCTGTGCTGAGCGTGTTCCCCCAGGGGCATCGGCAGAGCTCCCCCAGCACCTCCCTGGTGCTGGGCTCCCAGGGGAGTCGAGGCCCCACCAGGATGAGTCATCACGGCTGCAGCGCCAGGAATTGGGGAGCCAGGCAGAGCGCAGTACGCCCAGGGGCTGCAACGTGGCCAGGCTGCGGGACTGCACGCCCTCCCCCAGGCTCCCCGCATGTGTCATGGCCCTGGGGGCTTCCCTGTCTCCACTGCTCAGCCTCCGCAGGGCCCCCTGCCCTGCGAGCGCTGCTGACCCCCCCTCCCGCCCTTCCCACCCCTTTGCCAGGTCTGGAGAAAACCCAAATTCTGCAGCCAGGCGAGAAGACCACGGTGGCGTACCACGAGGCTGGGCACGCCGTTGCGGGCTGGTTCCTAGCGCATGCTGGCCCCCTGCGCAAGGTCCGTCTCGCAGCTGCCCTCCCTGCCCCCACTGCAGCTTGGGGTCTCCCCCGGGCAGGCTGAAAGCTTCCAGTCCCACTCTTGCACCCCTGGGTGGGCAGACAGGCCTGGGCACGGACCTCTCATCCTCAGCACCCGTGGCTCCTGGCTGGCTCAGTCGCACTGTGCAGCCAGGCCCTTGCACTCACTCTGTCATCTGCTGTGGGCTGGGGGTGGAAAGGCCAACTTCCCCACCTAGACCTCAGCAAGCTGCAGGTGCAAACCTCCCGGAGCCGCTCTGAAGCCGCCCGAAAAGCTCATCTACAGCCACAAGCAGCTCTTCAGCCACGTGTGCGTGATGCTGGGTGGCCACATCGCCACAGGTGCCCAGGATGACCTGAGGAAGGTGACATGGGATGCCCATGCCCAGGTATGGCCCAGTGGGGCAGGGTCATCCCCCAGCACTCTCCAGCTGCAGGGACAGGGCTGGCTCAGTGTGCCCGTGCACTCTTCCAGGTCACGCAGTACGGGAGGAGTGACAGGCTGGGCCACGTGTCCTTCAAGCACCCGCAGCAGGATGAGCCACCGGCGGACAAGCCGTATAGCAAGGCCACAGCCGAGGTCATCGACAAGGAGGGCTGGAGCCTGATCAACTGCAGCTACGAGAGGGCGCTGGGGCAGCTGACGCGGCACTGCGACCGGGTGGAGCAGGTGTGTGGGCTGGGGTGGGCAGGGCCTCTGCTGCCTCCGTAGCAGCCAGGGGGTTTGCTCTGACATGGAGGGGCTGAAAGGCTGGGAGCACTCCTAGGGGCATCCACCGGGACCCCAGCCCATGTGGGTGCCAGGCACCGGTCCTCTGTGCTTCCAGGTGCCGAGGCAGGTTGTCCCTGGCCGTGCGCTCTCCTGCTGGCATGCGCCTCTCGCCGGCTGCCCTGGAGGGCTCCTGGAGAGAAGTGCACCAGCACCCCCAGGCAGGGGACGCACCAGGAGACATGAGCCTGCCCCCAGGGGCCTGCAGGGCGCAGGCACCCCCAGCCCGGCGCGAGGGAGGCCAGCGTGCCTCCCCTGCCTCGCTGCCCTCAGCTCTGGTGGTGGCTGGCCTGCCCCAACCCATGGTGGGGTCCTGGTGCCTGGAGGATGGGGAGCATCTGGGGCTAGGAGGCCTGGAGGAGTCAGGCAAGCACAGCGCTTGGCAGAGCCCCAGCACTGCAGCGGTGCAGGCTCTGCCCCCGTGCAGCTGGGTAAGGCTCGGGGGCCTCAGCGGAGGGGCAGGGGCTTTGTGACGAAGGGGTGCTATGCGAAGGGGTACCCCCTGCACCCTATGGCCTGGTGCAGTGAGGGGCCCTGGCTGTAGCGACTGGTGCCTCTGGTCTGAGTCCTGCTCTCGGACTCAGGGATGGGACGGAAAGGAGCCTCGCGCCCCCGTGGGCACTGGCTCCTGCTAGCCCTGCCTTCACCCTGCCTGGCCTGGGCACAGCTCCTGGAGCCAGGTAACCATTTGCTCCCTGCAGCTCCCTGTGCTGTGTCCTGTGCAGAGCCAGCCTCACTCAGCCGCTGGCCCCTGCTGCGGCCATGAGAGCAGGAGCTCGCTGCTGTCCACATGCCCCTGCCGTGCAGGTGCTTTGTCGCCTCCTGCTCTGGGTCCTGGGAAACCTCCTGCTTCCCTGCTGACAGTAGCAGGGACAGTAGCAGGTCTCCGCTGACGCGCTGCATGCTGCCTAGGCTCAGTCCAGCCCCCTCCAGCAGAGACTGTGCTGTGGCGCTTGCAGAGCCTTTCCCGGGTTTGCCTCCCTCTCTGCACCTGTCGGATTCCCACAGGACCAAGGCAGGGCTGCGAGTGCAGCTCTCAGGGGGGTTGTATTTATTTAGTGTATTTTCTGGCACGTCCTCGCTGTGGGAGCAGGGCGTGCGGGAGGGCGCAGAGCACAAAGACATGGCCCCTGGTACCGTCTCTGGTCATGCAGACCTCCGCATGGGCAGCTGGGCACCTGGCTCGGGCTGGGTACGAGCCAATAAACGGAGCCCCTGCATGGGGGGACGCAGCGTGCGCCTGCGCCTCCCTGGGCTGTGGTGGAGGGGTGGTGAGAGGGGAGGGGGCGGCAGTCTGGGAGCAGCACGTCTGGGGTGGTGATGCCGAGCCCTGCCGGCAGGGATGGCCTGCGTGCCATCCCTGATCCCGGGTTGCAGGGCTGTCTGGTTCTCCCTGGGGAACCTGCGCTCAGACCCCAACGGCCAGGGGAGCAATGCTGCCGGCTGCTGCTCCAGTGTGCCTGGGGGTGCTGCCGGCCCAGCTCTTCCTCCCTGGAGCAGGGGCATGAGAGCTCAGCCCTGCTCCCGCTTGATGCCAAGAGCAGACGGGCACCCGCTCCCTCCGGCCGGCAGGTTGCGTGCTGCCACAGCACGCCTGGCTGCTGCAGGAACCCGCTGGCCCCCTCCG